AAAGGTTCCTTATAAACTAGACATCCAAAAGATAATTTATTTGGAAAGTTATCCCATTTAGGCTAGGTTGGTAATATCAGTTCCAAATCTGAAACAAAACAAAACAGCATCAAAATATGGTGCCTATGGGAAAGGTTACAACAGCTCTACTGAAATTATTTTCAATTAAATTATGCCTGGAGTGGTTTCATAATGGAACTCAGTAGGATGGAAAGGCAAGGAAACGATCTGGAGATGGGAACAGGAAACCAATATATTAATGATCTATATTATCTTTAATAAGAAATTTTAATTATTCTCTCTTGAAAAAGCCCAGCATTCTGCCTCCCTGCTCCCACGAGAGCTATACCTTGTTCACAAGCTAAATGAAAAAAAATGAAGTCATGATTTCAGGCATAGATTTTCTTTCTGGCTTGAATAATTTTAGTTGCTCTGGGAATAATTACAGCTTCTGACAAACCTCAGCGAGCTGAAGTGTTTGACAAGCCTATTACTACCTCACACTGTTGAATTCTTGCCAGAAACTTGCTACTCCAACTGCAGATTTTGAGCAATAAAGAGTTAATCATAAAAAATATTCAACTTCTAGGAATGCAGTCAGAGGAGAAATTTAAAAAGTAACTGCTTCCCAAGCAATCCATATAGTATGGAATATTACCAGACATAAAGATCACAGAGCTTCTCCCCAACCTCTTTCTGTCCAGGGTATTTATTTGAAGACTATTGAAAAGTTTTTCCTATTTGTCAAATAAGGATGTAGTAACTAACCAGTGCCAGAGGATAAAGAACAAATTAACTATTTATATAAATGAAGGTCTATAGGTAGCAAGTCCATCTCTTTAATTCAGAGAAATTTCCAGTGTGCAGTAGGGACCACATCTATCATTGTTAGGAAGAGACATTCCACTATCTGCAATGACATGATTTTCATACCCTTTACAAGGTTTTTGTGGCAATGCATATGTTCCTGTGTCTACACCAGAATGTGGCAATCTATGGCTAAAAGATGCATGCAGCCCCATTTACTTCTTTATTATTCCAGACAGTATCTGAAAAATTAGGCAATAAATAACCTAACATCTGATTTTTCATATATTTGTGGGAAACAAAAGAATATTTTGCTAGCCATCAGGTAAGTTTAAAGCATGCCCATTGAAAGCTTATCTGAACCTGGTCTAAAAGGTGAAATGGCATGTTGGAAATTAATTATGGACTCAAGCTCTTCATATACATCTGCAGCTCATTCATAACAATACAAGCTATAAAGTAAAGCAGAATCTGAACTAATTAAATCTTATCCAATAGCTATATGTTGAACCAGATTAAAGACCATCTGGAATACAAAAATTCCAGCAAATCACAGTCTAATCAAGATTAATTCCATCTTAATCACTAGAAACATCCTTTAATGATATGATCCATACCTGATAATTCTGCAGTAAGATGAGGCTGAGGTAGAACTCACTGAAGGCCAGTTTCAGGTCTTTGATGTTCCTATGCTGAACTCGTTCCTCATGAGACAGATGGAAGACTGGCTTTTTACGTTGTCGCAGGGTAGTAAGACCACTGGTTTCCTTTTGTGCATCCAAAGTTGACTGCAATTCATTCTGTAGTGTAGCAAATCTGCGCTGAGCTTCTGCCAGTTTTTCTATGGAATGAAAATACAGAATATGTTTATATATTATATTAAATAAGCTCAACATAAATAACATGGATCATGTTGCTCTTCTCCTGAAGGAGCGGGTACACAGCCATGGTGTATTACAGCACATATGGATAAATAATAATAAAAAGAATCCAGTTGTCATTTGATTCTTTTTTTCCCTGCAAGATGATGGGGGGCTGTAGTTCATTTAACTACAATGGGGATGGGAATAACTAATTCATAACTCATAATGCAAGTGTCCCTCATTAAGAATCTTGTAAACATACAGGTAGTCCTTGACTTACGACCATTTGTTTAGCAACCATTCAAAGTTATGGCGGTACTGAAAAAAGTGACTTGTGACTAGTCCTCACACTTATGACCTTCACAGTATCCCCGCATTCATGTGATCAAAATTCAGACACTTGGCAACCAGCATGTATTTACGATGGTTGCAGTGTCCGGGATTACATGATCACCATTTGCAACCTTCCAAGCCAGCTTCCAACAAGCAAAATCAATGGGGAACCACATGATTCATTTAACAACCACTGCAAAAAATATAGTAAAATTGGGTGCTGTCATATGATGCCTCACTTAACAACCACATCACTGAACAATGAATTTTCTGGTCCCTATTGTGGTCGTAAGTCAAGGACTACCTGTACAACTTTAAATGACAATATAATTAAAACGTATCTGTCTGATACCATGATAACTCCTAAGTTTTTAATGTTTCTCCTTGAAAAGGGGTCAGAAAGTAAGAACTGACTTTCACTCATTGTCATCCAAAGCCTAGTTCACAAAAGAAATTAATTTTCCTGATGCCAAAATATAACACTGCAGTCCACTTATAAGCATTTATTTATATTAAAAACCTACTGACCACTAGTTGTACTTAGAACTTCTTTCCATGAAGAAAATATTACAGCTTTTACTATCTACAGCTAAACCCTATGAAACGGACTACATATGTACAAAATCTGTCCTGGAATGAAGTATTCAAGAGAATTCAAATACATTCTGTTTTCCTCTAGGCCATGATATTCTGATGTGGTTTGGTGGTTTCTGAAAGTAAATCCTCCAAACTGGAACAAGCACAAGGTCTTCTGGGGTGATATGGCCCTAAAATAAGCCAATTTCATCTGGAACACCTAGAACCTCTTCTAGTTTGGGAAAGTTACTTCTGAAAACCACCGAACCACCCCCAAAAGATCAAGGTCCAGAAGGAATTTTGCTGCCATGCCAGAGGAAATTGGAACATTCCAGAGTTTTCTAGAACATTCTTCTCCTGGATTGATGAATGTTCACTTCCCTAAAGCATACTTAGTCGCTCACAATTTTAAGATTTAAAGCAAGCATTTCAAAGAGGATAGTACTAACCCCATCAATAAAACCAAACTGGTATTCAAGACTAATCTACTACAAAATAATAAAAAAATAAAAAGCTATCAAATATTTATTTATGATTTAGATGTATAATTTATTTCACTTGTTGTCATCTATGGTTTCCAACTAAAATTATTCAACTGTATCATCACTGACCTATAATTCATTCCAAACAATGGCAATTGTCTCTCATAAAATCTGGATGATCGGTCCGTATGTCCTATCATAGTTCCAAAACTATTACAGGTATATACCAGGAAAAAAAACTGCAGCAGATATAGGTACAGGTATCAGATCTAGCATCTGATCTAGTTAACAAGATGCTAACTTTAGGCTATGTCTCCTTTGACAAAATTGTTTCATGACTTAATAATGTCATCCGCAATCTCAGGAATTCATATACTTTCCAAGGTGTTATATGCCATTGTTTATCAACAATGGTCTACTGCACTTCCACATGGAAAAACAGACCATCCAAAAGGATAAACAGGCACAAATTGAACATCAGAAGCATTGCTGAAAAATTAATGCAAAGATATTTTAATTTCCTAAAACACTTTATCACTGAGCCTAAAGTGTTAATATCTGAGGCATCAAAGCCTCAAAGTTGAGAGTTTCAATGCTACCTTCTGACCTGTGGGTTAAACAGGGATATTATATATAAGAATGTCTGCATTATCACTATTTTATGAATAGCTCTTTTTTAAAAAGAGATTATTACATTTTGCAATTTCCTTTGATTTCACTATTTACATTTACTCCATCTCTTTACCATCCATGAATAAATACATGATTGTAACTCGAGGGACACTTTATGTATCTGATAAAAAAGATTGCAATCCAAGAAAGTATATGCCATAAACAATTACTTTAGGCATATTATAATTATTATTTCACATGATGGGTACCCATAAAAAAAGAACTTAGCATTGTCAGTAGATGCACAATATAGCATTTTTTAAGATATAACACTAAAACAATTCTTTAGTATTAGAAACATGATTCTTGAGGTGCAGCTATTCCTCATCCCCCTTCTAGGATAGCTGAGAGCTAATCAGAAATTCACTTTTAAACTAAATACATGATAATATTCTACTTTAGGAGAATTCTGGTTAATTTAAAATATGCTTTGGTTAAACAAGGTAGGATTATGGGCCTAGTTTCTTTTACTGACCAAAGCTGTATATTCTTATCTTGTTCCTGGCAGAGTAAAAGGAGCTTCTGAAATAGGGTAAGATAAGAGGAACTACTGCAGAACATGGCACCTAGCTTTGATATGACATAGGGCTCTTAGGAATCTGATGGTCCAAAAGACTTCTTACCTGAATAAAATGTGTTGATTTTGGCAAGCTCTTTCTCACAAGTTTGAAAAAACTTTTCTTCAAACTTGGCAAAATATCTCTTTACTGTATCTTCATCAGTGACTGGGGAAAGAAAAAAAAATAGAATTTGTAAGAGGACTTAGAACATTAAAATCTATTCTGATTTTAATCTTAGTTTTCTCAATTAGTATCCATGGAACCTTTTCCATGGAGGCAAGCCATTTCTTGGAAACAAACAACATTGTCAAGGAAAATAAAATCACAAGACTCCCTGAAGAAAAAAAAATGCCTTGAAATTTCAATAAATATTTCTCTTAGTTTTTCTATTACCACCATTTAACAGGTACCCATGACAAAGCAAGGGGTCAGGCACACAAGAATTATTATAGCAGAATTTCCCCCTTTATTTGTTTAATAACAGAGACCAGAAAACCTGTCAAAAGAAGCACAAACTATAGTTTATTACTGAGCTAACCACTCTAATGGATGGGGATTGTATTCCCTTTCTTTTTATCCTGTAAATTAATTGTTTTTATTAGAATAAATACCCTGGCTATATTTAACAGATTTGAATTTACTTAGAAAATTGTTCAAGGGTTTTTCTATTGTCACAATCATACAATGGCAAACTATGGCAGGCTTAATAAGAAATCAGAACAGTACCATAACTTGTTGCTTAAATTTATAAAGCCTGTCTCAATCTAAGCATTTATTAAACATACAAAGGGTAATCTCCATGTGTATTACTGTATCTATGCACAATAAAACACAGAGATATTTTATAAACATGTACATTTCAAAGACATGATTAAGCTGTTTTGGATGTGCTTTACAATTTATTTTCCAGGGAAATTTTAAAAACTACACAAATCTGATTAAGTTATTATTGCAAACATCTCATACAGTAGGAAGCAAGGTGTGGCCAAACTAAGTTTACTTTATATAACTTTTGCGATAGCAGTGTAAAACTTGTTCATAGAGTAAAAATAAACTTGATGTATACTGAAAGGCCTTAAACATTTTGATAAAATGGATGCTATGCTACTTAATATTTAACTAGGGCACCTTAACTAGCAAAATATAGATTCTCTGTAACTAGCAAGATATAGATTTCTCTGTAACTGATAACAAATCTCTAAACCAGGACCTCTGATTTATTGCCACTAGATCTGCCACTGCAAGAATTCACAATTTATGCAATATTATGGATGTATACTCAGGAGTAAGTTCTACTGTGTTTAAAGGAACCTACTCCCAGACAAATTAAGACTGCTGCCTAATCAATGAATAAACAATATTTTAAGCATGATTATGCTTCCCTCTCAAGAAAATGTACAGTATTTCAAATAATCATAAAACATAATATATACCATCAGTTTAAAGCCATATTATACACACTTTAAAAAGACTAGCATTAAGAATTTATCAGAGCAATTAGTAACAAGTACAATGAAATAAATAGATAAATGTATATTTAGAATTTTCAAAGCAACAACTCTCTTTACTTTTGAGTGGAGAAGGCATAGTCTATGACTACAAAGAAATCTTGCAAATCTTTCTTTATCAATGGGTCAAAGAGCAGGACCTCATTTATTAATTGTAAAGCCCAGGCAGACTCTAATGGATGCAGGCAATCCTTCCGATAAGCTGATCTCAAAACATTCAGGGTCTAAAGGTCATACCCACACCAGCCTTTCCCAAACCAGAAAGAGTGAACTTCAATGGTCAGAATTCCTAGCCAGCATAATTACTGATGAGAACTGTAGGAGATTTCTATAAGGCACCCTGATTGGGGGAACACTGATGGATAATTTAAATTACACTGAGAAAAAGACAAGCAGAGTGACAAATACTGAAAAATTGCAGTACTTCCACATACATAATCCCTAATATTGTTCTTGATGTAATATTTGGTATCCTCTGAAGTACTTTAACCCATCTTAAAAGAATCCCCTAAACAGAACATGCTTCAATCATCCAGCCTGGATGTAACCAGAGCATATAAACCACTTAAAAAAACAAACAAACTTTTCTGTGTCAGCATTATTGAAAAAAGAGAGAGATACACAGTACAAAATTATTTTTAAAAGATCTGTTATCATTTTGCAACATCACAAATGATTTCACAGAAAGCTCACACAAACAAGAAGACACAATGACAGTTTCTGTAATTTTAAACCTAAACAAACTACTGGTAGGCGAGAACCCTAAATTAGCCCTTCAGAGAACTGCTAGAAATGGAAGTTTTTGTTCAAAGAGAGAAGGATGGAGGAACAGGATGGAAAATGGACAGTAGCCAAACTCTCTTGCAGCCCCAGGCTCTCAGTTAAGCTCTGAAATGCAAGTGGGCAGTTCTAAAGGATCTACCAATTCCAACAGATGGAGAAAGATTGCAGTTCTAAGACATCTGAGAGAATATCAAGCTGAAAAAAGCTGATCTCTTCTAACCTGAGTTCTGGAGGGGACTCCTAGTTAATTGGCCAACTGAACCAAATCTGCCTATTTGTTTTTAATGGTTATACAAAGTATATAACACAGAACTAAACAGGAGCTGGCAGATAACCTTCTGAGAGTTGAGCTGTGGCATTCTAGATTCTCCAGCATTTTAATAAAGTGCCCTTGTCCAAAACCCAGACCTTAATAGGGGAAAGCAAAGCAAGACTGGACAGCAGCATAGAAAGAATAAATCACTTTTAAAAAGACAACCAGCTGCAGTTCCTGCAGGTCCTGAATTAGCAGCTCCAACCATGTTATGACACAAATAATTCTAGAAGAATGTTAATATTTTAAAATGGAGAAGGCTCTGTGGAGACATAAAAATACATAGATTGAGGGGGGTAAAATTCATTCATAGGATTCAGGCATGTGTACAAGAGATAAACTGTGCTTTGGCAATTGGCTGAGAAAGGAATCTCCCGCAATCTAAATGCCACCATTAGACTGTTGATTCAGCTATTCATTGGTCACAAACAATACCACATTCCAGGAGCCTGGCTGAAGAAACAAGAAAACCAAGAATCCCATCACTTGGAAATGCGCCAGGGCACATTTCATACCACTTTTGTACTGGCTGGGAGCAGAATTCATATAAATGGTGCTCACTACACTGACTAGGGGGACAATAACACTGGTACAGAAGCCAAATCTGAATGCAGAGTGGCAAGGCATGTTATCTGTCATGAGGCAGTACTTCAGAAGGTTATACTTGATTAGAACATATTCAGTGGAATTCACGACGATATATTGGGAAACGCCATTTCTAGAGATCTCTGAGCCCCTTTTCCCTGGCAGTGGTCTTGTATGCATCCAATGTCCACTAGTACCATCTGCCAGCCTCGATCTGGATTGGACCTGGAACCTCACTTTCCTCACATCTGAGAACTGGGCCACCACCACTTCTCCCATGGTACAACCAGCAAGAAGCCAGCTGTTGATGCCAGTATACTCTGAGCCTTTGGTGTAGAAGTGTTTCACCAAATCACACAGCCTGATATGGATCAAGGGAAACTCATCTGGTGCCAGCCATAGGGCAGCTATAGAAGGTCTTGAGCCCTCTTTCTTCACTATCATGATCATGGTGCCAAAGACTCCCTTGAACTCTGTTCTTTCCTTAGATCTGCAACCTTACTTTTGTTATATCAAAGGGGAAAGTAATCAAATCTGCAATGCAGGCAGCTGTCCCATCTTCCACATACTTGCCGGTGGCCACTGGAGGAACACTGGAAGGCTTGAATCCAACTCATGTAATGGCTTCAGGCTGGTTTTAAAGAGGGGATGAAGGATTTGAAAGTAGCAAAGAAAAACTGCCAGGGACTGGTAGTAGAAAGACCAGAGGAATGAATTCTTCCCTAATCTTATTTGAGTATATCAAGATAGTGGCAGTTTGATCAAGCTTCTCTAAAGGTTTCCCATTTATCATATTTGTTCAACAGCAATCCAACCCAACTCCCTTGACGTTCAATAGAAAGATGGGCTGAAAGTTGACACAGAATAATCATAACATTTGCTGTCACCAAGGGAAGAGAGAGCAGAGCGTTGAGTGGCAGCAGTGGCAGTGTTTGGGGAGCAAGTGAAGTGGTGCCCAGAATGGGCAGGCTCACAAAGTCCACTTTCAACAAACACACACAGCAGCTCACAAAGCAGCCAATGCAAGTAAAAAGCACTCCTTCCCACTGACATCCTCCTTTTAGAGAATGTGGCTGCTTAACATTTTGAGAGGGATAACTTAGTTGTCCCAACATGCTATGCAAATAGCCCCTTTCAAAGACTTTGCGCAACCCTGTTATGTATTAATAATCTGTTGTATGTGCCATACTGAAGAGGAACTGATTGATTTAGGCGACAGTTTGCTAAACTTGTTAAAGGTTACAGTAGGCTGTGAACTGAAATATCTTGAATGCTTTTAATGTAGCTGTAACAGATGTAAAATCATTTATGCTGTATTTGGGAGCACTTGAGAGGGCCTTATCAGTTGCTGCTGTCAAGTTCTGGAAGTGCTTGTCAATGGAAGCCAGACTAGTTTCATTTTATATCCTTTTGTAGGCAGCCTCATAAGTTCATTTTAAGACAAACTTTTGATCTTTAAATTGACATTAGTATTCTGAAATACATTTTAATTGGTGGCTACTACTGATTTTTAATTTTACCAGTATCTTTTTATTTGGTTTGCTTTATGCTTTGCTAATATATTTTACCTTGTATTTTATGGCTATTAATTAAAATATCTGAAGGAGATCATTAAAAAATAATTAATATATTTTTTCACTTGAGAACATTTCTCTGGCATCAGACTCAACCAGTAAGTGCCCACTTGCAACTCATCAGGGGATCAGATATACTCCCCTGTGTTCCCCTCACCTCAGTTCTGTTACCTTTTATTGATAATATGCTATCAAGTTGGTGTTAACTCTTAGCAATCAATTTTCTCCAGGATAACCTGGCCCTTTGGATTTTCCAAAGGTGCACCCACGGCTGCTGTAATTCAGTCCATCCACCTTGCCGCTGGTCATCCTTTTTTTCTCTTTCCATCCATCTTTCCCAGCATTATAGACCTCTCAAGAGAACTAGGTATTTGTATGATATGTCCAAACTACAGTAAACTG